ATTGAATTTATTGGGGTGACATTGGTTAATAAAATACATAGGTTTCAGGTGTACAGTTCTATGACACCTCATCTGTGCATTGTATTGTGTGTTCACCACCCAAGTCTCCTTCCATCACCATTTATCCCCCTTTACCTTCTACCTCCCCCATCCCCCTTCCCTCTGGTAATCAGCACACTGTTGTGTGTCCTTGAGCTTTTGTTTTGTTTTGTTTTTTGTTTAATCCCTTCACCTATTTAACCCAGCCCCCCACTTCCCTCCCCTCTGACAGCTGTCAGTCTGTTCTCTGTATCTATGAACATTTTTTTTTAAAAGTTAATCATTTTTGTGCTCCTTATGAACCAATGAAAAATATACTATGCTTCAGAAGCCTCAACCTGCAAGCCACATATTCATGAGGTATTGATGAGGCTCCCAAGGGGCTGAGTGTAAGCAGAAGGACAGGGCCCTGGGGCACACCAGGGTTAGGGAGTCATCAGGAGAAGACAGAGAAGTGTCAGGGAGACAGAGGAGTAGCCAGCGAGATTAGAGTAAAACACAGTGTGGTGTGCTAAGCCAGACGGAAGAATAAGTTGTTAAACATCCACTATCAATCAAAGATGAAATTAATATCACAATTTTAATGGAATATATTTACTTTGAAACACAACATAGACTGTAAATGAAAATGCTAAAAAGAACACTCCCCCCCCCGAGTTAATCATTTTTCTTTTCTTCCTGAAACAGTAAAAAGCAACACTTTACTTTAGAAGCCTCAAGCTACAAGCCACATATTCATAAGGACTGCATTTCAGTAGATGTGCATGCAAACACGTACACATCCTAAGGCTGAGTGCCAGAGCTGAGGTGAGTGGGAGCAATGAAGAGCTACTATATGGGGTTTACACCATGAAGGAAGTGGGGGGAAAAATGCCTCCAGTAATTAGCATTGCCAGAAGCACAGCTTTAGGACTTGGGGACTGTGGTTAAGGATAGAGACGGGATTGAATCTAGGCTCTGAAGTTATTTATTAGTTCTAAAACTAAGTTCTAAAAAAAAAACAGTGATTGCGTAGCTCTCGGGACAAAATGTCTTTGTCCTGATACAGTGCAGAGAGGGTCTTTAGGTTAAGTCAGCTCTGGCAGCCTCAGCTTGGGGCGGGGTAGCTGAAGTGCGAGCAAGGAAGTGCTCACGAACAGCGGGGGGCCCAGGCCAGGCTTCAAGGACAGCCGAGCTTCCCGCTGCTCAAAGACTTGGGAGAAGAGCAGCACTGTCTCGGTGAGGGGCACTGGAATGCTAAGCACAGGTAAGGCAGAATGGCCTCCTGGGACTGGAAGTCTCAATATTTTCAAGATGGTGATTCTCCTCAAATTGATCTACAGATTCAAGACAATCCCTAGCAAAATTCCAGCAGGTTTTTATGCAGAAATTCACAAGCTGATTCTAAAATTTATATGGGAATGCAAAGGCTCTAGAAAAGCCAAAAGAATTTTGAAAAAGAACATAGTTAAAGGACTTAAACTTTCCAGTTTCAAAATGTACTATTTAAAAACGACAGAAATCAAGACACTGTGGTCCTGGCATAAGGATAGAGATATAGAACAATGGAATAGAGATTCCAGGAAAAAAAATCCTTCTGTTGTCAATTTTTGGTCAAGTTGTGAGTATTTTTGAGAAAGTGCCAAGGCAATTCAATAGGGAAAGGATTGTCTTTTCAACAAATAGTGTTGGGACAATTGGATATCCACATGCAAAAAGGATGGAGTTAAACCCTTACCTCACTCTATACACAAGAATTAACTCAATATAGATCATAGACCTAAATATGTGAGCTAAAACTAGGAACCTTTCAGAAGAAAACACAGGAGTAAATGTTTGTGTCCTTGGGTTAGGCAAAGTGTTCTTAAATATGATACCAAAGCATGATTCATAAAAGAAGAAATAAATTGGACTTCAAAGTTAAAAACTTTTGCTCTTTCTTCAAAGACACCATTAAGAAAATGAAAAGACAAGCTCAGACTGGGAGAAAACATTTACAAATCATGTATCTGATAAAGACTTATGTCCAGAATATTTTGTTTTTTTTAAATTATTTCTTTCTTTCTTTCTAGAGAAAGGGAGAGAAAGAGGGAGACTTCACTGTGTGGTTGCCTCTTGCACGCCCTCTACTGGCTTGCAACCCAAGCATGTGCCCTAACTGGGATCAAACCCGTGACATTTGGTTTACAGGCCAACACTCAATCCACTCAGCCACACCAGCCAGGGTTTATGTTCAGAATATTTTAAAACTCTTGCACCTCTGCACTGGATGGGTAAGTTGAGTTGTTTGGAGTATAGTGCCGTATACCAAAAAGGTCATGGGTTCAATTCCAGGTCAGGGCACATACCTAGGTTTCAGGTTTGAGCCCCAGGTGGGGTATGTATAGGAGACAAACGATCAATGTTTCTCTCTCACCAATGCCCCCCTCCCTTCCCCTCTCTCTAAAATCAATAAAAACTTGTCCTTGGGTGAGGATTTTAAAAAATTATAAAAACTCTTGCACCTCAATAAGATAACTCAATTTAAAAATGGGTTTGAGATATGAATGGCTGATAAGTATATGAAAAGATGCTCAACATCATTAGTCATTAGAGAGATGAAAATTAAAACCACATCTACTAGAATGTCTATAATAAAAAAGACAGTATCAAGCTGTGATATTGTGATAATGTGATATCAAGTTGATGAAGATGTGGAGAAGCTGCAGCCTTCATACATTGCTGGTGAGAATGTAAAATGATGCAGCCACTTTGGAAAAGTTTAGCAATTGCTCAAAATGTCAAACACAGATTTACCATAGGACTCAACAATTGCACAACTATATATTTACCAAGACAAATGAGAGCACGTTTTCATAAAAATTTTACACAAAATGTTCATAGCAGCATTATTCACAGTAACAAAAACATGTACATGAATGTTCATAGCACTTAGTATTCACAATAGCCAAAAGTGGAAATAAAATAAATATCCATCAACTGGTGAATGGATGGACAAAATGTGGTATGCTATGAAATGGGATTATATTCAGCTATAAAAAGGAGTGAACTAACTACTACTAATAGATACTACAATATGGATGAACCTCAAAACCATTATGCTGAGAGAAGCCAGAAGCAAAAGACCAATATTGTATGATTTTACTTATATAAAATGTCCAGAGAAGGCAAATCTACAGAGACAGAAAGACCATTAATGATTACCTGGGGCCAGAAATAGAAAGGGGGATTGACTGCAAATGGATATTCAGGATCTCTTTGGGAGTGACTGAAATGTTCAAAATCTGGATTGTGGTGATAGTTGCACAATTCTGTAAATTTATTAAAAATCACTTAATTATATATTTAAAACGGGTGAATTTTATGGTATGCAAATCTTAACAAATTCCATCTTCTAAAAAGAGCATGCTTGTAATTGCCTATGAATTCCAGCTCTGCTACTTACTAGCTGTGGAATCGTATGCTATCTAATGTTTTTAGGACTCAAGCTTCCTCATCTGTCACATAGTAATAATAGTATATATCTCAAAAAAATAGTATATACCTCATCAGACTCTTTTAAAGATTAAATAAAGTTAATACTTGTTAAGTCGGCGCCAGCGTTTGTTAACTACTATTATTCTTATTAATAACATTACTTTGTACTACGTTTCTACTTCCAAAAGGTTCTGACAATGAAGCACATATTTTGTTATCAATGAATTTTATATTTATTGATATGTCACACACCCTTTAAACTGTACAATTCACTGGTTTTTAGTGTATTTACAAAGTAGTAACCATCATTGCTAATTCCAAATTTTTATTACCTTGATGGGCTTTCTGAATTGGTTGGTACAACTATTTACAATGTAAAATAAATTCTAAATTTATAATTGTGTAAGTTCCTAAATGTTGAACTGAATGCATCCACCCAAATACAATATATTGTACAGTTTCTACCATCAATTAACTAATAAATGCATTTATTGAAACATAACCTCCTACTTTAACTGTTGAACCTAAAACTTATGAAAACGTATTCATTCTAACCTTAAGTATTCAAAGAACACAGGTAACCTCAATTCTTATTCACCTCTTAATATATTTTTTCTGACTAGAATACCTGTTTGTGATAAAAAAAATTGTAAAACAGAAATACAAGGGGGAGAAAAAAACTTGCATTCTTCTTAATATTGGATAATAAAAGGACTAAGTCGCAACAATCTTTTAAAATTTAAAATATCGATTTAGGGGTAAACTTTCCATTCAATAAGTGGGTTTTCTTGGATCAGCTTTAAAACACAACAAAAAAAAATCCCTTTCAGCGCTCTTAAGGACACCCAGCTTCTATCCTAACTCGATTCTAGCGCCACCACGGACCATCTCCCTAGCACTAGAAACCACTCTTCAGAACAAGTTAGACTTTGCTTTTGCCATCTTTGGGCCGTGGAACCTCCGGGCGAGGGCGCTCTCCCCGCCTCCTACCAAGTGACGCATGGCGCCATGAACGTGGCCAGCTCTGCGCGTGGCCTCTTCCCAGCCAAGAGCTCCGTCACAGGTGGGCCGGACCCAAGCCGACCTCGCCTTATTAAATTGCGGAAATCGGTAAAGAAAGACATTCTCACAGTCTGTCCTCATATCCTAGTTAAGGTTCCCAGGTTCTGGGAAACCCTTCCGGCTATCCCCGCGGGAAACGGAAATGACTTATCCCGCGCAGGCGCGCGCGACGTTAGTTTTTACCCGCCTAGCAAGGGGCCTTTTTGGAGGCTGCCCTCAGCTTTGCCTGCACAAATAACCAACAAGTCTGCGGCGAATAAATCCCGAAACTTTGCCTCGTGTTTTCTAGTAACCCTGCCGGCAAGTACTGTATGAAGTCAATCAGAAAGAAGTCCAAGCAGTGAGGTCCTGCTGCACCGGTCATCCTCCTTTCCCAGGCCTGGGCCCTAGTCTGCCGTCCCGCCTTCGCTCCTCCCCGCCCCGCCCCCGCGTGACGTATGGTTAGGCTGTTGCCCCGCCGACTTCCTTCCTCTCCAGACAAGATGGCGGGGGGCGAGGCGGGCGTGACTCTCGGCCAGCCGCATCTTTCTCGCCAAGATCTCGCTACCTTGGTAAGGTTTCTATCTGGGAGGATGCGGAGTGAACTCGGAAGTGGGGATGACAGTGCCTCCCGGGTGGCGTTGAGACGAAGCAGTTGCCGGGCTGTCGGAAGCGTGGTTAGCTCCTAAGAGGGAGGCCCTAAGCCGCTCTGGCGCCACCGCCTGCACACCGGCAAGTCTGCGAGCTGGGCAGTGGGGTGGGAGATCGTGGGACCTAAAAGTCATTGAGGTTTTCATTTCTGAAGGTCTAGGAAGGGAGTGTCTACACTGTCCTCAGTGCTAATGCTGTCAAGATTGGGCGGCCTTGGGCCTGTACGTTTAATATAGTGAGTAGACGTGTAGTCTTATATAACGATGAGGGACTTTTAAAGCTTCTCAGTCATCAGAGTACAAGATTGCCTATACAAGAAAAGCGCTTTAGAAGTGGGACAGAACTATTTACGTGGTGGCGAGCTGTAGATCAAGTGTAAAGTCAAAGGGAAAGTTGTGATTTGCCTTATGTCATGATTAAAAATAAAAGTAAAATGTTTGATTGCAGGATGTTACCAAATTGACGCCACTTTCACATGAAGTTATCAGCAGACAAGCCACAATTAATATAGGTAAGAACTTCTTGGAGGCCTGAGTTGCTTGATCTCTGGCAAGTGATTTTTAACTCTCCCTTTGCGTGAGTACCTAAATTATACAAGGATGCAAATATTCACATAGACGTTGAGCACTTGTGAGCAAAGCACCTCTTAGATTTCTTTGGGAAGCACATGTTGCCCATGCCTAGCTTACAGACTAGGTGAGAAAAAAAGATACAGACCTATGAGAAGTTTAATAGAATAAGGTGATAGGTACTCATGTAGCACTTTAAGGAAGAAGTCAAAATGTGGCTATACTTGCCACACAGAGTTATTGCAAGGGCAGAGTTTTTGAAAGTTTTATTTGATACATAGGCTATTATTAAGTAGAGTATTTTTTTTTTCTTAATTGACACCTAGAACTTTAAAGGAGAAGTTAGTCAACTGAGTGCAAATTTGGGGTATTTGAGAGTCTGTAGAAGCAGCACAGTAAAACCCAGTTAAAAGTAAGGCTCTACCATCAGGCTATTAAAAAGTTATAAGACCTGTGCTACCCTTGACAGCATTACAGTAATTAAACTTGAGTTGTTTTCTCATTTTCATGGGCGCCTTTTGTTTGGGCTCATCATATCTATTTATTTCACTCTGGGAATGCTGGAAAGTTTCTGAATATACAAGATATTATGTATTTTTTATTGAGCACTTATTTTAAATGAAGGCAGTCTTTTCTGTGATTAAAAACATGAGCTGAATAATTTTTAGTATGCTGGATATGTGTGTTTTTTTGTTGTTTGTTTTTTTAATTTTTTAAACCCTCACTTGAAGATGTATTTACTGATTTTAAAGAAAAAAGAGAAAGGTAGAGAGAGAAACATCAATTGGTTGCTTCCCATACACACTCTGATCAGGAATTGAAGCTGCAACCTTTTGATTCACAGGATGCTCCAACCAACTGAGCCCCCTGGCCAGGGCACTGAGTATGGATTTTGAACAGGGTTATCAATTACTTGAAAAGTTTGCTTCATTCCTGTCTCAGAATAAGTTTTTAGTTGAATATGTAGGAGGAAAAGTTAAAGTCACTGTTGGTTTTACATTGATATTTATAGTGAGTTAGGGCTTTGGGATTTGTACTCAAACACTGTTTGAAAAAAAAAATTGGTACAATTGAGTGTATGCAAATTAATTTTTTGAACTTTGTCTATAGGTACAATTGGTCATGTAGCTCATGGGAAATCCACAGTTGTAAAAGCTATTTCTGGAGTTCACACTGTCAGGTTCAAAAATGAACTAGAAAGAAATATTACAATCAAGCTTGGATATGCTAATGCTAAGGTGAGCTGCGTACTGTGGTACTAGAAATTAACTTTAATTGGAATATGCAGGTAACAAATTCAAATCTTCTTTTCATTGGAACTTTTAGATTTATAAACTTGATGACCCAAGCTGTCCTCGGCCAGAATGTTACAGATCCTGTGGAAGTAGTACACCTGATGAGTTTCCTACAGACATTCCGGGGACCAAAGGGAACTTCAAATTAGTCAGGTGACCTCTTTGGTGCTAAAAACACTTTATACTACTTTATATTTTATTGTCCTGTGGTTGGTGCTTTTGAAAATATCTAACTGGGGCATTAAACAGTGAACCTAATCGCTGAATCATTTTGTCATTTTTCCATTATTTTGTTTTTATTGTCTGTTGTGACAATAATTTGAAAAGTCAAGTATTTAAACCTAAGATACTTATGGGCAAGTTCTCCAGAGGAAAAGTATCACATAAGCAGAATGGAATGGAACGGCTCATAGCTTACTGGATTTAAGGGATTCTTTTCTGTCAGGCTTCCTAAATTTCTTTTCAACAGCGTTGTTTATGTTCTTAGGGGAGGAACAAAGCCATTCTTAATTACCTCTCTTAGTACATGGATTTGTTAGCTATTTATTTTATGAATACAATTGTGTATTCTGATTCTTTTTCAGAGAGTACTAACATGAACCTAGTGATGTATTGGGGGTTGGGGATGCTCCACAAAGGAATTTGAGATCAGAAAGCAGGGCTGGGACGAGGGAAAGGTGGTAAGGCACTTGCCTTGGGCCCAGAATTTATGGGGGAGAAGGGATGCTGAAAACCCTTAATAGTTAAGTAGTATTTTAAGCAATGTTGTTTGACATTAATTAAAAGAAATTGTGATAAACAATATTTGTTTAAATGAAGATGGGCTTGAAATTACTGATTTTTTTTCTTTTATTCAGTATCACTGTTTTTTGTTTTGGGTTCAGTGTGGCATTGCTACTGATCCTTTTTTCATTTAAAATTTTGATATTTCATCATGGCCTTTTGGCATTAATTTTGGTTTTTGAAAATATTAAATTTAAATATTTATCTTGAATACTAAGATTTTTTCACTCCCATAAATTTTGCACCCAAGGTAAATGCCTCACTTGTCTCATCCTCTTTGGGCCCTGATCAGAGACAGCAAACTTTTTCTCTAAAGGGCCAGATAGTAAATATTTTTTTACTTTGCAGGTCATAAGCTCTCTGTTTTAGCAACTCCACTCTGCCCTTGTGTTGTGAAAGCAGACAGAGAGAGTGTATGCTTGAGTACTATGGCAGTGGGCTAGACTTTGCCTAAGGGCCAAATTTTGTGGATCCCTGTTTTAGATAATGACAGTATGAGCATATGCTATTTTTTTTTTTTTTTTTAAGATTTTAGTTTCAGAGAGAGGGGAGAGAGAAAGAGGGATAGAAACATCAGGGTGCAAGAGAAACATTAATCGGTTGCCTATCGCATGCCCCCAACTGGGGACCTGGCCTGCAACCTAGGCAGGTGCCCTGACTGGGAATTGAACTGGCGACCTTTCTGTTTGCAGGCCGGCACTCAGTCCACTGAGCCACACCAGCCAGGGCAAGCATACACTTTTAAAAAATAATGGTTCTGATTGAGTGATATATGGTTGTTGTTGTTGTTTCTAAATTGTGCTGCCATCTCCACTTCAGAATTAGCAATTGCAACTTTTCAAGGTGCTAGAGAAATTTTGGCAAATTCTTTTTTTAGATGGCACTGCCCATTATGTTAATACTGTTTGAGCTTTTGTATAGATGACATTCCCTATATACACCCTACCATATTTACCTTCATTGGATTTTGGAGTTTTTGGCTCTTCAGTTATTTCCAGCTCTCATATAGCTAATTTCATTTACTTCGTAATGACGTGTAGTGATTTGACTCTCAGTGAGTGGGTAATCTTATTTCCAGAGTCTAGAAACATCAAGTCCTGTAACTACTTGACTTTATAAGAATTATTTCTGTATTTTCATTCCATATTTATATGTAATATATCCCGCATTTAAAGTGATTTAATTTTGGGAAACCTGTAACTTGCATCTTGAAGTCTTGGACTGATTGTTATTTCTCCATTGTTAGACATGTCTCCTTTGTTGATTGTCCTGGCCATGATATTTTGATGGCCACTATGCTGAACGGTGCAGCAGTGATGGATGCAGCTCTTCTGTTGATAGGTAAATACATCAGAATTGGTTTGGACAAATCAATGTGGAGCAAATCCAAGATGAAATATTTGAAGGGGGAACTAAGGCCTTTAAGGGCTATCTCCATTACCTAAGAGTGACATGAGTGGAAACTAACATGAAATCCAGGATGACATCACTGCCTACCAACTATCACAAAGTGTTAAACAAGACAGACCTAGGGCTGATATCTTATGAAAATTCATTTGGTAGTGTATATTTTAAAAATCAATAGTTCATTTTCCCCACTGAGATCACATGAAATTATTTCAAGTTTACATGTAAAAGTACATGTACTTCTTTGTCTCTGAGCTGTCCGCTACAACATTGATATATAATTTTTTTTTTTTTTAACTCCTCGTGCAAGGACATGCCCACTGATTTTAGAGAGAGAGGAAGGGAGAAAGGGAGAGAAACATTAATGCAGGAGAGAAATACCGATAGGTTGCCTCTCGCACACACTGACCAGTGACCGAACGTGCAACACAAGTATGTGCCTGGACCAGGAATCAAACCCATGACTCCTCAGTCTATGGATAACACTTCAGCCAACCAAGCCACACTGGCCAGGACAATATAATGTTTTTATGTAGATGCAGATCTTATTCTTAAGTGTTGGAGTCTGGGCCTGAATTGGGATTTTCAAGGCCAGGGCCGTGCTACCTTACTCATGTGAGCTGTTGACTGCTGAGAGATTTGTTTCTATGGAATATAATTTTTTAAAGAATCCCAAGTGGATATAGTACAGGACGCCTGAGCATCACTGCTTAGAGAGGATGATCATTGGAGTGCCCAGCAAAACAAGCCTATTTATAATACACTGCTGGTTATCTTCACAATTAGTGTTCTTCCCTCCCTTTGTTAGGGAGTAGCCTCTAATAGTTGACATTCATAGACTGTATTAAGTGTTTTTCCCTCTTAATTACTCTCTGCCTCTCAGGAGCTTGACTAGGCCAGAACATTACTAATACTGGATAGAGCCTTAGGCCTGAGCAAAAGCTGAGGGCAGACCCCAAGATGCCAAACTTGTTGATTCCAAACATCTTACTTAGGACCAGCAATGGGAGCCAAACAATGTGATCTCCAGGACTTTTGCCTTGAATAGGGAGGGCTAAGGCATTCAAATGTTTTCCTTTATTAGATTTGGTAGTAAAATACATGTAACAAAAATTTATCATTTTAGCCATTTAAAGTGTAGAGTTCAGTGACATTAAGTACACTGAGTCTTGCATAAGCATCATCACTATTTAGTTCCAGAACATCTTCATTACCCCAAAAGGAAATCCTTTGCCCATTAGGCACTCTATTCCCCTTTTCCCCAGCCCAGCCCGTGGCAACCACTCATCTGCTTTCTGTCTTTTATGTAATTATTTCTAGCTAGTTCTCATGTATTGTGTTGATTCTTTATCTTCTAGCTGGTAATGAGTCTTGTCCTCAGCCTCAGACTTCTGAACACCTGGCTGCTATAGAAATCATGAAACTGAAGCATATTTTGATTCTACAAAATAAAATTGATTTGGTAAAAGAAAGCCAGGCTAAGGAACAGTATGAACAGATCCTTGCATTTGTACAAGGTAAGAAGCCATTATATCTAATACATCTGTGAATCTCTTTGAGAGCCATTTAATCCAGATACCAGATGTTAATTTAACTCTTAATAGAGTATCTAAAACAGGGTAAGCTTATAGGTCTTAACCCTTGTTTTTCTCTACCTACTACTAGTGAAATCTATGTTTCTGAATTTGATGGACTAGCAGGGGTGTCCAACCCATGGCCCAGGGGCTGCATGTGGCCCAGGATAGCTATGAATGTGGCCCAGCACAAAATTGTGAATTTACTTAAAACATTATGACCTTTTTTTGTGTGTGTGTATTCGTTAGTGTTTGTGTATTTAATGTGCGGCACAAGACAACTCTTTTTCAGTGTGGCCCAGAGACGCCAAAAGGCTGAACACCCCTGGACTAAAGTATATTTTTGCTGATTGAAAGTTAGAAGTGAAGTTGTATTCTGGAAACTATCAGTTTAAAAAAATCCTACTCAGTGATAGTAAAATGAACAAAAGCATTTTCTTAAAAATAGGTCTTAAACTGTTTTGAGTAGCTACTTTGAGAATTGGGACCAATGATCATTTATTTAATCTTTGTGGTCCCTTTCTCCTAACAAGCATAGTGTTTTTCGTTTCAAGGAAGACATGATGCATCTTATTTTTTATCCTCACCCAAGGATATGTTCTATTGATTTTAGAGAGAGAAACATGGACTGGCTGCCTTCCATACACGCCCCTCCTGGGGTTCGAATCTACAGCCTAGGCATGGGTCCTGAGCAGGAGTCGAACCCACAGCCTTTTGTGTACAGGATGACGTTCCAACTGAGCCACCTGGCCAAGGCCAAACATGATGCATCTTATTGTTGACATGATTCTCTCTCAGCTTTCTTTTTCTTGTTAGAAAGGTTGACTTCTTACGAACTCAGTCCTATCATAATGAGAAAGAATAAGTCATATTGATTAAAATCTAATGATGTTTATTCCATTTCTTTGACCAGCCTGTTTGACATATAATTAATAAGGAGCAAATATTATATGTGCAGCAGTCTTTGATTAGCAAAGAGTCTGTAATTTTATCTTGACATTTATTGGAAGGTTAATTACATGTTATTAGAAATCTTTCAACTGGTAAAGTGCTTTTTCCCAGGGGTGTTAATATATTATTCCTTTAAAGAGTTTTGTCATTTTAGTATATTGAATATATTTATTAATATATTTATAATTTTAGTAATTTCATGTAATACAGGGAAAATTTTGTAAAATTGAATTCTGATTTTTCTGAATTTTGTCATATAGGTACAGTAGCAGAAGGAGCTCCTATTATTCCAATTTCTGCTCAGCTGAAATACAATATTGAAGTTGTCTGTGAGTACATAGTAAAGAAAATTCCAGTACCCCCAAGAGATTTCACTTCAGAACCCCGACTTATTGGTAAGTGATAGGGTTTGTCTTTAATTCTTATTAGATCTTTTCTAATTGGTGATTCTCCCTTAAGAGTGTTTATTACTATTTCCTCTCTGCAGATGTGATAATAAATTATAATCTTCATAAAAATTATTTTGAAATTGATGAATTTTGATATTGAATTGGCAATACTAGATTGCATTACTGGTTGAGAGACAGAGTCCTGAATATAGAAGGAACTTTTAACCTTTTTGTGTTCAGTATATGGTGTATTATGTGATCAAGGTGAATAATACAGTACTCTCTATGGAATTATGTTGTAGTCAAGAACAGAACATTAGAACTGTTGTACAAATGATTTCATTGTACCATTAATGAAGATTTTCATGTCCCTTTCACTTTTACTTAAGTTCATAATATCAATATTGATCATCTAAGCTTGTGATTTCTACACGGAGATGTAGAAGCCTTTTTAAACAGACATTTGAGCCCTTCTGGGCCTTCACTCGAGGCTCACCTGTATGTTGTAGGAAGGGTTCTCTTATGTGATTGCGATGCATACCTGCTGTTAAGGGACACTGCTCTCAGAACCTAAGTGCTAGTCATATAGTCCTAGAGTTGTCTCATAGTTTTGAAACTAAATTTTTATTTCAGAAATCATATAAATAAAGAGGTATATAAATAAAAAAGTCCATAATTGCACTACCTCCCACTTTTAGCCCCTTAACCCTGAAGTAACCAAAGTTTTTTGTTGTTGTTGTTTTTTTTTTTTTTTTTTTTTTTTTTTATCCTCACCCAAGGACATTTTTTCATTGCTTTAGGGCGGGGAGGAGCAAGAGAAAGAGGAACAGCAATGTGAGAAACATCAATTGGTTGCTTTCTTGTACGTGTCCCAACCGGGGTACAGTTGTCTGCCCTGACTGGGATTTGAACCCACAACCTTCCGGACTATGAGACAGTGCTCCAACCAAATGAGCTACGCCAGCCAGGGCTGCTTTAGTTTTTCCTTGTTGAAGTGAGATCATACTCTGTGTTACTTTAGTAACTAGGTGTTTTTGGTGTTTTTTTCCTTAATAATATATGAGGGTTATCCTTCCAGATCATCACATATGGTTCTACTTTTTTTTAATAGCTGCATGACACTCCATAGTATTGATGTGTCATAAAATGCCTCCTATCACTGATCTTTTGTTATTTTCACTTTTCTGTTTTAAGTAACGTTGCAGTGTACTTAGTTGGAACAGTAATACTAGATTTTGTCACAAAGTCACCCTTACGGTGTAAACCTGATGTGTCTACTATTTTAGGAAAGTTAACTTAGAAAATAATATTTTTTCTAAAGTTAAAATTAACAGAATTGGCTTTAATTTGTTTTCTTTTAGTTATTAGGTCCTTTGATGTCAACAAACCCGGCTGTGAAGTTGATGACCTTAAGGGTGGTGTGGCTGGTGGTAGTATTCTTAAAGGAGTGCTAAAGGTAAATTCGGTTTTGATTGTTGTGTTGTTGAGTTTTTTTCATTGGAGTAACATTGGTTAATAACATTTAAATTTTCAGGTTTTTACAACTTTATGATACGTCTGTATACTCCATTTTGTGCTGACCACACAAAGTCTAGTGGTTGTATTTTTATTTGTTCTTCCCCGGTGGTTTTTTTTTTAAACTTCAGTTACAGTTACATTCAATTATCATTCTGTATTTGTTTCATATGTACAGCGAAGTGGTTAGAAAATCATGTACTTCCCTGGTCTAAATCAGAAAACAGTATGGATATTCCAAGTTGAAAAATAACTTTTTTATAGTGTCTAGTTCTTGATATAGATGTTACTGTATACTATTATTTTTTTATGTGTCTGATCTCTAACTTTATAGGCTCCTCGTGAGTATGTGAGTATGGAGCATATATTTTGTGGGGATAGGCTTATGTGGTAGACGATTAGAAATAGTTGGATGCTTCTGGTTTGGAAGAGCTCTCTCACTTTTTTTTTTTTTTTTTTTTTTTTTTTTAATTGTGATCTTTGAAATAGAGAAAGGATTGCCTTTTCAGTTTTGTGGTCTTCCTGTTAGGACTTTTGTATGTAAATGGGAATTGTGTTGTCCCTAATTCTAATTATTCATTTATATTTTTACAGGTGGGCCAGGAGATAGAAGTCAGACCTGGTATTGTTTCCAAAGATAGTGAAGGAAAACTCATGTGTAAACCAATCTTTTCCAAAATTGTGTCACTGTTTGCGGAACATAATGATCTTCAGTATGCTGCTCCAGGAGGTCTTATTGGTAAGGATTTTCCTCTCATCCCTACACTTTTCTTTCTTTCTTTTTCTTTTTTAAGATTGTATTTATTTATTTTTAGAGTGAGGGGAAGGGAAGAAGAAAGAAAGGGAGAGAAACATCAATGTGTTGCCCTGGCTGGTGTGTCTCATTGGGTTGGGCATGGTCCCAGAAACCTAAGGGTCACAGGTTGGTTGCAGGCCAGGTGCCAGTTAGGGGCATGTGAGAAGCAACTCGTTGATGTTTCTTTCCCTCTCTTTCTCCCTCCCTTCCCCTCACTCTAAAAATAAATAAATAAAATCTTTAAGAAGCGTATAAAAATAAAGCATCTACTGTTACTTAGAATGGAAGTACAGGCGTTAAAAGATTATTATTTTAAAAAACCCATTGTGTGGTTGCCTCTCATGTGCCCCCTACTGGGGACCTGGCCCACAACCTGGGCATGTGTCCTGACTGGGAATGGAACGGGCAACTTTTCGGTTTGCAGGCCGGCACTCAGTCCACTGAGCCACACCAGCCAGGGCTAAACTATCTTTTTTATTAGCCTTTCAGGGGAGAAATGGCAGGCATATATTATGCAAACTACTTATAAATTTTGTCCCTTTTCAACTTTCATTAAGAATGTTCAGACTTACTTTTGAGTTTGGCTTTGACCTCTTTGCCCTTTGTTGAGAATGTAAATCAAGAGAGTCTTTCTGTTTTCAAATGTCCAACTAACCTGTGAGTTTACAGTTCTATTTCTTTGGATAAAATGAGTATTTTGTCACACCTATGTAGCTATTACATGGCTATGAGAATATAAGTATGAAACTGTATGGGTATGTGCTACGCTTGAGTAAGTTTTGAGATACACAGCTTTACAGGGGAAAAAAGTTGGAAAAAATATATTTTATATACATATATGAACGATCTTATTTTATCAGGAGTTGGAACAAAAATCGACCCCACTTTGTGCCGGGCTGACAGAATGGTGGGACAGGTACTCGGTGCAGTTGGAGCTTTGCCTGAGATCTTCACAGAATTGGAAATCTCCTATTTCCTGCTTAGACGGCTTTTAGGTGTACGCACCGAAGGAGACAAAAAAGCAGCAAAGGTAAGTGCTTTCTGTAATTCCCTGTGAATTTCTGTAAACACAGAAAGTGACAGTGATGTTAAGACTAGTTTTACAGTTAACATGGGATTAAAAAAGAAACGGTGAATAAATTTGACTTCCTGAATATTGAGAACTTCGAAATGGCAGTCAGTTTAAGGTGAAAGAAAACAAAACAGGGAAAGGTCTGTCACATATGACAATGACATAGTCCTGTTATCCATGTGCTTTTAAAAAAAGTCTCAGTACAATTACACTGGCAGAAATGGAAAGTTCCTGACATCTGTTGTTGGCAAGGATGTAAGAAAGCAGTAATTTCTGGAAAGCATTTTATTGATTTGGGGGTTTATTTTTCCCCATTTTATTTTTCTAGGTGCAAAAGTTGTCTAAGAATGAAGTGCTCATGGTGAACATAGGATCCCTGTCGACTGGAGGAAGAGTCAGTGCAGTCAAGGCCGATTTGGGCAAAATCGTTTTGACTAATCCTGTTTGCACAGAAGTAGGAGAAAAAATTGCCCTGAGCCGAAGAGTTGAGAAACACTGGCGGTAAGTTTAGTAGTCTTTGTCACTGTCTAATCAAGAAGACACCATCAGAAATTTCCTTCAGTTTTTGGTGGTATGCATGCACACTTTTCCTTGAACACAGCAGTTCTGGTGGCTTTAATTCTCAACTATTTAGATGCCTTTGAAATCAGTATTTCTAGCCCTCATTTGTGATAGACCCTGCAAAAACCAATGAATTTCGTTCAGTATTTCTCTTGTCTTTGGCTTTTTAAAACTTTCACTTGGAAATAAATTCAACTTAATAGCAAAATGACGAGAGTTGCACACAGAACTCCTGTATTACCTTTTCCCGAGTGCACAATTTGTGTGTGTGTGTGTGTGTGTGTGTGTGTGTGTGTATAAATTTTTTTCTGAGCCATGTAAGGAGTAGATTGTACATAATCATGCCCCTTGATCTCTTAATAGTTCAAGTGTATATTTCCTAAAAGCAAAGATATTCACTTATATAACCACTTAAAGAAGTTTAATTTAGATAAAATACTGAAATCTACAGTCCATATTCCAATTTCATTGCTTGCCCCAATAATGTCCTCTATGTCCCTCCAGTCTGGGATCATGCATTGCATTCAGTTTTCATGTCTCTAATCTGCAGTGTCCTCAGTCTTTCTTTGTGTTGACATTGACAGCTTTGAAAAATACCAGCTAGTTACTTTATAGACTACTCCCCAGTTTGGTTTTATCTGATATTTCCTAAGATTCAATTTGGGTTTTGTATTCTTGGCTGGAATACTTACATAGATGGTGATGTCTCCTCAGGGAATCACAGGTAGAAGGACATGATATCTCAGTGCTCCTTCTCGTTGAAGTTAATTTGATTACGCACTCAAGGTGTTGTCCAGTTTTTCACTATATAGTTACTCTTTTTACCCTTACCCTAGCATTCTGTAGGGGGACTCTTGGAGACTATGCAAGTAGGCTGCTCCTCATCGAATCCCACCACCCTGGATTTAGCATCCACTGATGGTTCTTGTCTGAATTGAGCTCGACTGTAGTGACTGTAAAATGGTGATGACCTGCCCCCAGCTCCACTCCTTATTTATCAGCTGACATTGTTTCTTCCCCATTTTTTACTTAACTAGTTATAATATGAACTCATGGAGTCCTATTTTATTCAATAGGTTATGATTTGTTACTGTCCTTATTTTTTTGATGCCCAAATTGTCCAGTAGAGAGACTCTTCAAGCTGGATCATGTGTCCTTTGACATGTTCCCATCAGTTTGGTTTTCTTTCCTCTCTCTCTCTTTTTTTTTTAGAGTTTCTTATTTTTGGCACAGTACGTTCCAGAGCTATCTTGTACTTTCCTTCTCCAGTTTAGAATTGGCCATTTCTCCAAGGAACCCTACCTAGTTCGTTTTAGTGGGAAATGGTGCTAGGTGTGCTCATCGCTTTTAAGATGCTATTGCTTCTAAGCGCTTTCTATCCTGTGTGACCTCATTATAGCCCATACTACCAGCACTTCACAATTAAAGGTATTGCAAATTATTCCTAGTTTGCCTCTTTGTTACTTAAGAGCTCAGTCAAACATGTTTATTATGCTGTGCTCAATAATTGCTGGTAGCTTCTCATTTTCTTTTTCTTTTTTTTAAAGATTTTATTTATTTATTTTTAGGGAAGGGAGGGAGAAAAAGAGGGAGAGAAACATCAGTGTGTGGTTGCCTCTCGTGTGCCCCGAACTGGGGACCTGGTCTGCAATCCAGGCATCTGCCCTGACTGGGAATTGAACCGGTAGCTTTTCAGTTCACAGGCCAGAGCTCAATCCACTGAGCCATACCAGCCAGAGCTTACTATTTCCTGATACTCAGGACCTTTCTAGAAGCCTGCTTCAATGCATTTTACATTTCCTCCTGTTTTGTCTCATACATTCTTTGTCCTGATTGTCCCCATAATTATTCAAACCACTCTTGGCTCTGTTTTTTTCTTTGCCCCTCCCTCCCTCCCTCATTAAGGCTCCGTGATGGTCTCTTATCACTTACTCTTCAGAAGATCTGAATTATCACTCTTATTTAGACAAAGTTGAACTTCTGGTTGTCCTTTAAGCAAATAATCCTGCTTTGTGGTGATTTATACCCACTTGATTTTACTCTTTTTATATGCTTATATTATTTGCCATTATAGACTTACTGATTCCAACATATTTTAAAATTGGCTTAAACAATAAACTTTCAAAAACTCAACATGGGATGTATTTTTCTCAGTTAGTTAGAATGGTACATTTCCTAAATTAGAACAGATTTTAAAACAAAGGGTCTTTTTGTGTCTGTCCACTAATATAAGAGTATCCTCCCTGGCCGGGTAGCTCATTCAGTTATACCAAGTTGCAGGTTCAGTCCTTGGTCAGGGCACACACAAGAATCAACCAGTGAATGCATAAATAAGTGGAACGACAAATCAGTGTTTCCTCCTCCCCCTACTTTCTCTCCGTCCCCCTCTCTCAAAAATCAATAAATTTAAAAGAGTCTATCCAAATGAAATTTTAGGCTTTGCTTAAAAATTACTAAGTATGTTAAACTTGTTAAAAGAATTGAGAGCATCTGAATGGTTCTTGCAGTCTTTAGAATTGTGGTTTTAACCCATGTATAGGTGGGTTTTGTTCTAAAGCTACAGTTGAGGTAGCAGTCTAGCCTGGTCACTGATGAGAGCAGATACTGGAAGAGGGAGCAGAGGTCCATCTGCTGTTGAGAGTAATCTACCAATTGGCTATCTAGTCCTTTCGTTCTTCTCTTAATTTCCTTTACCAGCTAAGGTCATGCTGAAGCCATTGTGATGTGCTGAGGTGCTTTGAATGGGAAAAAAGCATTTTTCATGGAGAAAAGGATAGAGGATGTGATCGTTTAAAAATCTCAGACCGAGGGGGTTTTATATTGGCATTGTTCCCTAGGTAGATGGGAAGGCTCTTCTCGGCAGTTCTGGAGGAGTAGGTATATTTTAGTAGAGTGAAGATGAGCATATTTATACAATAGTAGCAACTTTTTTTTTTCTTCTGTCATTCATTCTGGCTAGAGTCCATCTCTCTGGGTCTAAGAAGACGATAGAGTGAGCTTTCCTTGTGGATGAGGAGGTTTGGGAAACATTCAGAATTAGCAGATAGACAAGTAAAACCAGTTATGTCAAATGATTGTGTGGTAATGATAATGAAATAGACAAAAAACTCACAGTTTCTTTTCTTTTCATTTTGCAGTTTAATTGGTTGGGGTCAAATAAGAAGAGGAGTGACAATCAAGCCCACAGTAGATGATGACTGAAAGAAGAATTTGGACCAAGTCAAATTTTCTATTAACAACCTGAGGGTATATTTTCAAAGCAAGGCTGGGGGATAGATTTTACCTTAGTAGTTGTTACTCTCATCTTCTTGGTGATGAAAATGTAACCCCCAGTAGTGAAATAGGGTCTACAATAAATGCAAAAATTATTGGATTGAATCTACCAGAAATTGATCACTCCAAAATCGTGTCTAATTTATATATCGTTGCAGGTGTGACATGAAACTGTTTGCTACACCAGCTTTTGCTGTAGCACATGTACAACCAAACCTGTTTGAAATAAAACTGTTCTCATTTTCATTATTCATCATTGAGTAGCTATAGGCTTGAAAGTACTTGTTATATCAGTAAAAACTTGAAGGTACAAAATTTTGAAGACCAGCTTCCCTTTGCTTCATATTTTATGTTGCTTTATCTTTGCAGTTATGAGTAAAAAGAAATTCATAGGTTCAAATAAAATTATCCTTAGAGCATGAGTACTGTTGGCATGGACACACCTCTCCCCCTTCTCTCTCCCTGATCTGGAACACAGGAAACTAAAACCAGCAGTTCTCACCCTCTCCCTGTGAAACCCTGAAATTGTTTGTGTTGGTTGACACCTGAAATCCATCAGCTTTCTCCCATTGGGAAATACTGTTACACCAGGTAATTCTAGATAAATAACAAAGATCTTTCCACACCTAATTTTATAAGATTCTAATATTAGCCTTTTTTTTAAATATTGGGTTGGCCAAAAAGTCCATGTGATTTTTCCCGTAAAATAAGACACATTTTTCATGTTCACCAGTAACTTTATTGATTTGGATATTTTGACTGTGTTGGCTCTCTCCTACGTGGTATAATATTCATTGTTGTCGATGTCTTGATTTAATCTCTATCAGTTTCAACTGGTCTACCTGACCATGGAGCACCATCCAGCAAGAAATCAGCACGAAACTTCACAAACCACTCTTAACACGTTCAGTCAGTCACAGCACCTTCTCCATACACTGCACAAATCTTTTTTTGTGTTTCAGTTGTGTTATCTTTTTTGAAATAATAAAGCATAATGTTGAGTATTTTCTTCCATCTTCAATATTAAAATTGCTGCACAAAACTTCACCAATTTTGGTTTTTTTGTTAATGCACACTGATACGACAACTGTCACAATACAATCTATAGCAAAATTGTTTCGAATGACGTTAAAGACAACTAAGCACTACTAGGGTCATCCTATGGAAAAAAACTTATTGGCCAACTCAATATTAGTAATTTTGGACCTTTCGAGATAAAATACTAGAAAGTAAAAGGTGTACCTTTTGACTTTTAATTTATTCTCCATGTTCCTGCACTTTTCCTGTGCTGTGTTTATTTTTACTTTATTTCGTAAGACTGTGTTAGAGCAGTGGTTGTGGACCGACATTGGAATTGCTAGAGAAACTAAAAAAAGATAGATGCCCCACAGAGATTCTGATTTAATTGGCTTGGGGTGGAGCCCAGGCATTGACGTTTTTTAAAAACTCCCTGGTGCTGAGAAGTTTAGAGAGTTGAGAAGTAGGTGTGTCAGATAACACAGTCTTACTGAGTTTGGGTAGTCTGATAATACTAATTGGCTTTTCTTGAGTTTGCATTTAATGTGGGACTTGATGCCATAGTCATAATAGTATGCTCTTTTGGGCATTGAAGCTGCTGCCTTGTAGAAGTTTAGAAGCTATGGCCATGAGTTCTGTAAGTTTCTAAGTTCTGAGGCAGCATGTTAATGCTACATACTTGGTTGACTGAAGGTTTTAGCATGTGGAACACATGTAAATAAAGCAAGGTTCTGATCCAGACAGTTTTAGGTCTTACATGTTCTCATGTGTTTTTCTAAGCACCTACCAGAAAATTCTGGAATAACATAAAATCCAGAGCTTTGCAATAATCGACTAATTTAACTGATACCAGAAGTCTCTTGTCTATATCAAACATTCACATGAATTTCAACAAATTTGCAAAGCACTGGGCTTAATGTAAATGGGAATGCACAAATAAAACAATGGGCCTTGTATTCATAGAACTTGAAGTCAGTGCAGTGATTCTCAGCAAAAGATGTACCTGAGAATCTGCTCATGATATTGCTGGTGAAAGTACATTGCATATGCAAATCCTATTGGCTCTCGCGTCACTTTCAGAATCTGGCCAGTTCTCACCATTTCCCCTGCAACCATCCTAGTCAAAGTCACCAGGGTTCTCACCAATGGCAGTAGCCTTGTAACTCCTTCCTGTTTCCATCCTTTACCACTGCAGCCTGTTCTCAACATGTGTAATTACTCTTTGTAAGAATGCAATGCACAACTTATGACAATAAATTATAAAGTTAGTCACAAAAATGGGGGCCATGAGGACAGTTCACAGCTGTGACATAAAATGATTTCCAAGCTGACCTAGAAAGCTCTCCTATTTCACTCTCTGTGGAACCTCCCAAGATAAGTGTGTGTGTGTGTGGTTGGTTTTTGCAGAGGAAAAAGAACTTTTCTTCCAATGAGTGCAAATAGTTGCACTCATAAAACAAGAAATCCCATTTATGGTGAACCTTCCAGTGAAATGGATGTTTTCCTAAAAACATTTTTAAAAATTTAAATTATCAAAAACAAAGCAGATGCCTTTAAAAGACCAATAATCAAGAAAGTTGATTAAAAAATTTTCCTTGAAAAGTTTTCACAGTCTGCCAAAGTTTAAGGAATAGGTAATTCTGATATTAAAGTTCTTCTAGAAAATAGGAAATGAAAAGGGGACAAAAAGAGACATTCTACCTCACTGCTCAAAATTATATTCCTGCTGCCCAGATCTGGAAAGAATGCTACCAAAAACAACACCTCTAGAGACCTTGCAGAGTTATAAAATTCATATTAAAATCCTAGTAAATTAAGGGGAGCAATATATTAAAAATGGATTTTTTTATAGGTTAAAAAAGCATACCTAGAAAATGTATTTGGTACAGTTTAAACTTTTTAAAATGTAGGTGATGTAGAGAAGAAAACATGTGTCCTTAGAGAACTATCAAGAGTTACTGTTTAATGATGAAAAAGGTTTCATCTTAGAAGCTTCACAAGGGTAGAATGAGGGGTTGTGAGGTTAATGAAATAACTAGGGTGAAATTAGAGGGTGGGAAGCAGGCATGAATTGCATTCCGCCAGAATTCATGTGACTGGTTTCTGTGTTCTCAAGGTCTGAAACAAGTCAAAGGCAGATGCCACTTCAATTCCACATGGTTCTCTGAGGCATAGCAAATGAGATATGGAAGTGACAGAACATTATTTACAAGGTATAAGATTGTCTTCCTAAAAATAGAAGCCAGAAACTGAAAAACTTGGAACTTCTAAGAACTCAGTGAGGTAACAAATTAAGACACACATGCAAAAATTATTCGTTTACTAAATAATTTACTAATTAGTTTAAAATGCACACAAATATACAAATCAGAAAATGCAATGGGTATAAACTACCCAGGTATAAATTTAACAAGAATATGCAAGGTATATATGAATACAACTAACATTTGCTGAAGGACAAAAAAGGAGATATGAATGGTGAGAAAATAGGCAATGTTCTTGGATGGGAATGCCCAATATTGTACAGATGGCTGCCATTTTTTATATAAATTCACTGCAACCTGAATAAAAATGTCAATGAGACTTTTTAAATAACTTGTTCAGCTGATATTAAAGATTTGGAAAAGTAAATTCACAAGAATAGTAAACTTTGTGAAGGAATTATGATGGAAGAGTTGACATACCACATTTTGGAACATAAAGCTACACTATAAGAAGTATGGTATTAATGCAGAAATAGATCAATCATTGGAACAAACTATAACCAGATATAAAATTTTAGTAATACATACTGTCAGTATCATTTTATGTCAGAGAAGAAAAAGACTTTTTTAGTTCAAATGGCTAGCCATTTTGGGATAAAAGGTCTTTTATTTAAAATCTTTAAGTCCTGTCCAAGAGGCTTAGTTGCTTAGAGCATCATCCTGATACACCAAGGTTGTGGGTTCAATCCCACAACCAATGAATTATGTAACCAATGAATGCATAAATAAGTGGAACAACAAATCTATGTTTCTCTCTGACTCTCCCTTTTTCTCCCTCTAAGATTAATAAAAAATAAAGTCTTTAAGATTTCATTTCATTGGGGATTGACTGTGGAAGCAAGGGGTGGTGGGGCTGGGGCGAGCAACAGGGGAAAAGGTGGGACAACTTTACACAACAAAAATAATAAATAAGAATTTTTAAAAAGATTTCATTTCATTGAGACAAAATTATGAGCAAAGAAGATGTAGGAGATTGGCTGAAATGTGCTGCCCTGGCTGGTGTGGCTCAGTGGATTGAGTGCTGGCCTGTGAACCAAAAGGCTGCTGGTTCAGTTCCCAGTCAGGGCACATGCCTGGGTTGTGGGCCAGGTTCCCAGTTGGGGACGTGTGACAGGCAACCAGTTGACGTATCTCACACATCGACGTTTCTTTTCTTCTCTCCCTTCCCATCTCTCTGAAAGTAAATAAATATTTTTAAAAATAAAATTATGTGGCTTGTATTTTTAAAAAATTTGCATGAGGAAGGCAAAACCCACAAATCATAGAGCAAAAGTTGAAAGATCTGCCCTCACTGGTGTGGTTCAGTGGACTGAGTGCCAGCCTGTGAACCAAAGGGTCGCTTGTTCAATTCCTACTCATGGCACATGCCTGGGTTGCAGTCCAAGTCCCCAGTAAGGAGTGTGTGAGAGGCAACCACATATTGATGTTTCTCTCCCTCTCTTTCCCACTCCCTTCCCCTCTGTCTGAAAATAAATAAATAAAACCTTAAAAAGTTGACAGATCTGATACATAAAAGTTCAAAACTTATGGCCAAAGATACTACAGATTTTAAAAATGAGAGAAAATACTTAAAGCGTACATGATGTGAAAAATGAATATTTCTAATACAAATCAGTAATATAAAAATATAATAGAAATGGGACAAATATATTGCATCACTTCAGGTGGCTGAAGGCCAGCAGGAAGAGAATTCATGCAGACTCATAAACACACTAAATGCCACTGATTTGATTTGAGCAAAAACGCTGTAGGAGTTAGTGGCAATGAAGTGGTCCCACAGGCGGGAACAGATGTAGCATCTCATCTCTATGGAGTTTTTGTGCCTCAGACTTCACAGCAGGGAGGGGCTATGCTGATGCCAGTGACTTAATAAGGTGGAGTCCTACTGGATCAAGGAAATGAGTTTTGTGCTGGACCATTGTACTTTTATACTCAGAGATCATACCATTGTTTACGAAGAACTTAGACAAACACTCCTCTTAATGCTTGCATTTAAGGGAGCGTTTACAAACATTTGGCATTAGGGTAATCACACTATTCTGGAGGATTAGGCACCATCGTTGAACAATGTCTAACTTCAGCTTTTGGCAACAGGGAAAATCCATTTCACAAATATGTCTAGGCTATTTATAGAACAAATA